GAGGAGGAGGGAGGAGGAGGGGAGGAGGAGGAGGAGGAGGAGGAGGAGGAGGAGGAGGAGGAGGAGGAGGAGGAGGAGGAGGAGGAGGAGGAGGAGGAGGAGGAGGAGGAGGAGGAGGAGGAGGAGGAGGAGGAGGAGGAGGAGGAGGAGGAGGAGGAGGAGGAGGAGCCGATGGCGCAGAAGGGGATCCCGACTGGGCCTCGGAACGGGAAGCGGGCGCGACCACGCGCCCGAGAGGGAAAGACCGCCGCTAGTCCGAGTCCCCTGACTCGGGCTGGAGTGGCGGCGCGGGAGCCGAGGGGGGGTGGGGAGCCACGGGCGCTGGCCCGCACGGAGCCGCAGCACAAACTCGCGGCTCAGGGCTCCGACCTCCTCTTCCTCGACTCCTCGGACGACCCCAACCGCCCCGTCCGCCACCCCCGCCCCCTCGACTTGAAGAGACTGAGCGGCGGCCTAGTGGGCAATCGGGGCGAGCCTTAGCGGGCCTAGCGCCTCTCCCGTCTTGGGGTGGCGCCCTCGCTGGGCCTGCTGCAGCATTCTCTGAACCCTTTCCCCCCGCGTCCCGCCCACCCCAGCTCCACCACCGCCCCTCTCACGACGAGGCAGACAGGCACGGGTGAGGCCAATCGAGAGTCGGTTGGGCCGCACAGCATGCGCGCCACAACTGGCACATATCAGCACACGGTCGAGCACCTGGACCGAATGCCCTGGGCCGAACTCCTGGGGGTCACACACACACACACACACGGGACGCGAGGGATTTGAGAGACGAGGGGGTCGTGGCCTGTCGCCAGCACTGCCGACAGCCGATCGCGCCCTCGGGGAAAAGACAGAAATCGTGGGTGGTCGCCTTGCGCTCTCTGCGCCTTCGAGGAGCAGGCGGCAGCGGCCGATGGACGACGGGGGACGCTAGCTTCGCCACCCGCTCGGCCGCGAAGGCCAGACATCGCATCCGCTGCTTCGCCTGCTCCAGCTCAAACTTAAACCTACGGGCAACAGAGGACGACCCCGCCAAATCAAGCGCGGCCATCTTCGCGAAAAGATCGGCCCACATGTTCCCGAAAAAAATCTCAAGAGGCTCCCCCGAGGACAAGCACGACGCAATGCCTTCTTCCACGGACCTGTGAGCACGAGTCCAGGAAAAACGGGGGAGGCGCTCTGAATCAGATTCATACAGCTGGTGCAACTGACGCCAAACACTCGCGTGGGGGGCCTCGGGCCGAGCATGCCTGCCAAACCACTGGGCCCCCTCTTGTGCCAGCGCCAGGTGATCGGTGACGAATTCAGACGGCCTGGACGCCAATTCAAGGCCTCGGAGCGCAGCGAAACGCTCGGCCCTGGGAACCGTTTGGATGGGGCCTCCGAGGCCTCCGAACACAGCTTTGTGCGGCACAAAATTCGGAGTGATGGCCACAACGGCCCATCCCCACCGACGGGCCTCGGGGAAATCACTCCATTCTGAACGACGGGGGCACAGCACCGAGCCTGAGATGCGGCCACCGCTGCAGCGGGAGCGCACCGTTTTTCGAGAACCGGAAGCGTTCCGCTTGCAAGATGCGCATACGAAAGGCCAGCTTGGAGAAGCCGGTGAAAAGCGTGGGTGGGAGGACGGAACAAACAAACTCATGATCAGGGGAGAGGGAAGCATAATAGTCAAAATGCGTAACGGTGCAGATGGAGGAGGTGGAGGAGGAGGAGGAGAAACAACAGGAAAAGCAGCAAAAGAGAGAGAGGATAATTCGAGGGAAAGAGCAGCAGCAGCACAAGGATGAGTGGGAGGAGAAGCAGGAGGGGAAGGGGAGGATCGGAGGGAGGGAGAGAAGGAGGGAGAAGAGGAAGTAACGAGAGGAAGAAAGGGCAGGAAGGGAGGGGGAGACCGTGGCCAGGACCCGACTAGGCCAGGACCGCAGATGTCTAAGCCAGGCAACTCACAAGTCCCGACGCCTCGCTCTGCAAGCTTCATGATACGTGGTCGTCTTCCACATACACCCTGCGTCGTGCATTCAGGGGGCATGCTTTCTACTCGCAGCCAGTGCGCGCAACAAGCCCTGCGCAGGACAGGGCCGCGGAATCGTGTCCGCAGCGAGCACGCACCAAGGGAGCCAGCTCACGTCCACAGTGCAAGAGGGCCAACGGCCTTCCGTACAGCTTGGAAGGCCATGGTGCCGCACGGGCACCCCATTCTTTTACATGCAGAAAACTGGGCTCATGCGGCCGAAACATCGGCCCCATGGGCAGGGCGTAGAGCAGGTCGATCGACGAGAAATCCCACTCCAGGCCGACGCCCGTCTGGCCCTGCTGCCAGATGCCCTTCCTCACCCTCAGGACGTCGTCGGGGTACGGGCTGTGCTCTTCGTCCTCCTGCGCCTCGTGCGCTGAGCAATAGCACAGCTCGTGCTCCAGGTCCGCTGGGGTGTGTCCGCAGAACTCGCACACCGCATCGTCTGTGTATCCTGCCTCCTGCCTCCGAGCTGGGGTCCACATGCCGTGCGACTGGAGCTTAGCCAAAGCCCGTCGCAGGCCGCTGGACATCTTCTGCAGGTGCCCGTGCCGTAGCGCCCTGATCCAGATGTGCTGCCTACGTCCTTCGGCGTCACGACGCGGGGCTCCAGGCAGGCGGTCCAGGATTCGATGGCTCTGCCAGCGCTCGATGCTCATGTACATGTAGTGCTTGACCTCGCTTGGGCACACTCTGAGAAGGTCGATGCCCGCACCTAGGTCGTCGACAAGCGCCGTCGCGCTGATCACGTCCCAGCCGACTCTCCACGACGTGAGCCACAGCGCCGACAATGGGCCGCGGGCGCTGGCCCACGTGACTGGAGAGCTGGCGCCGTCGAACTTTTCCTTCAGCGCCATCCGCGCCCTCTGCAGCAGGACGGTCGATCCTCTTGCCGCCCAGACCCACGAAGCATGCTGCATCAGGATGCTGCAGGTCGCGTGGAATATGGGGTCGAAGTTGCGCTGCTTCTGTACCGCCAAGTACAGGGTGAGGGAGCCCGAGCCACTGACACCACAGAAACTGCCATCCATGCTTCGCAGCTGCTTCGGCCCCCCGTCGCTGATGCCGCTGACCGCGGCACCGTGACCCACCGAGGGCATCGCGCCAGTGGTCCAGATCCGCGCGGCGCGCCTACGGCCAGCTCCCTTCTGCAGCGCCGACAAGCGAGGCCTCCTCGCCTGCCTCGTCTCGAGCCTGTCCTTCTGAACTCCGCGCGCCGCGCCATTGGCCGACATGTCGTGACCCAGGTGCCGCATGTGGCGCCTGCCCTCGATCCTCAGCACCTTGGCGTACGCCTTGAAGTGGTACTTCGCCTTGCGTGCGACTGCGATGTGCCCTGACTTGTTCAATTGCAGCACCAGCCCAAGTGGCCTGACCCCCTCGCAGAACACCTTTGTGGCCGTGGCCATGGCTCGCGGCCCCCGCGCGTCAGTCCCTGTCCAGGAACGCGCGACGTCGTCAACCAGGTCACGAGGCCGAACCTCACAGGCGACGGTCTTGGCCAAGTTGATGCTGCGCGTGAGCAATACCATCAGCAGCGCGGTCGCATGAGTGCAACCCGCCAGGATGCCCTGGCAGATGACCCTATCCTCGGAGAACGAGTTATACGCGTAGATGGTGCGCGCCTGCTCGTACATCGTCACCAACATGTAGGCCGGTCTCATGGGATATCCGTTGGCCCTGCACTCATCGAGGATCGCTTGGTGCCGAACCAACTCGTAGCACTTTAGCATGTCCAGGAGCACAATGACCGAATGTTGGTCCGACAGTTGGGCCGTCTCCTTCTCGAGCGCCAGGTCGAACGCTGCGTCCGTCGAGGGGCGGCCCCCGATGTGCCCCCAGAAATCCTCGGACGCGTTGGCGATCTCCCACTGCGCCGAGACTGGGCGCCGTGTCCGCCCCAGACTCTCACCAAAGTGTTGAGGAGAGCGATCAGGCGCTCTCCCCCCCCAGGCTTGGGCAGGCGCACGAGCTTGGTGATGATGCGCGACTGTGGCCAAACCAATAGCTGCTCGCAGCGGGGGTAAACCTGGGCCATCGCCTCGAGGGCCGCGTCTGACAGGAAATCGAGGGCCCGCGGCGCAATCTTGATCTGCCCAGTACCTGTGCGCCAGCTGAACGCGCGGATCGCTCGACGGACGTCGGCGCCGCTCAACGGTGGTAGCTGGTCCCAGTTGGCGGCGTCGCTCGGCAGCTGGATCGGGCCGTCCTTGTGCATCCTCCAGAATTCGCTCCAGTAGGACAGCTTGCGGTCGGCCAGCTGGTAGGCGCGCTGAACCCCTTCGCCGAAGTCGATCACCTCCTGGAGCGCCTGCGGCTTCGAAAACCCGTGGGCGCGGCTGGCCCCTCCATCGAAGGATGCCACAGCCCGCGCCTGCCACCTGGACATGACCTGCCTCTCGTGGGACCGCTGCATGGCCTCTGACTTGGCCAGGATGCGGTCGATCTGCTGGTCGAACGTGACCACCTCCATCTTGAACGCCTCGAGCCCCTGTCCGAAGAAATCGATCGCCTCGCTGTCCAAATGCTGCCATGCATCCTGCCTGGCTGCCATCCGCTTGAGAAAGTGCTGAAACTCGAGGATGTGCCTGGCCGTCTTGACGCACAGCTCGCTGCAATGCGCGGTCGGAGGAGACGGCGGAGGCGGCGATTGCCAGCTGCCGGCACTCGGCCCACCTCCACGGGGTCGCCGCGCTCGAGTCTCCAGCCCACCTCGCTGAGGCCCAGCTTCGCTGCAAACCTGGGGCCCCTGCTTCCCCGCGACCTCCACCGAAACGGTCGCGGCCCTGGCGGGCCTGCCTCTCGAGCGCGGCTCGTCGGGGGGCGGCCTTGCACCAGGCGGTGCGTCTGCCTGCCCGCCCTCGCTGTAGTCCTGCAGCACGAACGCGGGCGACGCGGACAGCTTCGAAATGAAAGACGCCAGCGCCATGCGAACGCGCCGAAAATGCCGGGCCCACCTTGACGCGGTGAGCCGCGCTGCCACGTCGGGGGCCTTCCGCTTTCAGGACTCACGCTCGTCGTGCTCGAACTTGGCCCACTTGAAGGACGGTGCCATCGGCTGCGACAGAAACCTGGCGGCGTAGGGTCCGACGACGTCGTGCCTCCCTTGCAGCTCGAACTCCACGCCCAGCAGCAACTGATCCCAAACCTCAGCCAAGTCCTCCGCGGACTGGGCCTGCGACACAAGCTCCTTGAAGGGGTCCCAGTCAGGCGGGGGCCTGGCACAACCGACCTTGGTCTCCTTGGTGAATCCCTTGGCCTGCTCGAGCTGCCGTGTCCACAGGACCTGGGCCGATGCTCTGAGCTGCATAGTGGCGGGCAAGTGAGGCCAGGTGTTGGCCTCCTCCACAGACGCAGTGCTCAACCTGGGAACCAGCTGTGCTGCCGCGAAGAAGAAGTCAATGGTGCGGCCTGGGAGCGACTGCAGGCAGGTGGGCGCCGAGGGCGCCAGCGCGACACCATTGACGGAGTGGGGCCACGCTAACGTGCCCAACTGCTTCAGCTCCATGTTGAAGTCTCCTCCCACAACCCACGGCATCTGCACCGAGTCCAGCACCTTGAGATACTGATAGAGCCTAAAGAGAATGGCCAGGTTCGCATGCGACATCTGCTCGTCAACTCTCAAGTACACGGAGATCATGGCGAAGCCTCGCTTGCCGCCGCAGTTGGCATGGGCGGCCACCATCCTCCCTGGCTCTGGCCTTGGCCCTTCCAGGGCTGGAGGCGCCGTGATGAGCGCGCGCCGAGGCACAAGCACGGCGACTCCGCCTTTGCTACCAGCACCGAGCCCTGGGAGCGCTGCCTCCCAGACACCGTGGAAGCCCTCGGCCGGGGCGTCCTGCTGGGCCTTGGCCAGGCCCGCGGGCAGCGCGCGGTGCTCCTGCGCGGCGATGCACATGCTGGAGGATGAGGCCAGGTAGTCGACGAGCGGGCCACCTGCCGAGACGTTGAGTGTGGTGATGCCAGTGGGCTTAGCCACGGTGCAGACGATGGAGCACAAAACCCAAAACAGCCTCAGGAAAAGGGCGGGGCAACTACGCGGCAGCCTTGCGCCGCTTGCACCAGTGCTTGGCCAGGATCTCTTCGATCTTCCTCTTGTCGCCGCCAGCGTTGGCCATCTCCTCGATGAGCTCCTCGCTGGGGGCGGCGTCCTCATCCTGGTCCATGGGTACTGGCACCTCTGCCGCGCCTTCGGCCCGCTGCCGCTCCGCCTCGGCTGCGGCGTTGGCCTCTCGCTCCTCCTGCTGCTTGGTGCGCGCCTCCTCCGCCACCTGCTTGAGCCGTTCAAGGTCCTCCTTGAGCCTTTCCGCCAGGCTGCGCTCGGCGCCGAGGACGCCCAGCACCTCGCCAAGGCCTGAAAGAGTCTGGCCCAGCCCTTTGATCGGCTCGTCAATCGGTCCCTTCCCAGCCTCGAAGGCTGGTGTCACGGGGGCCTCGCTCTGCAGCTGCCGCTGCTGCTACTGCAACTCCTCCATTTGCAGGGCCAGGGCCGTGCACTGGGCTTGCGCCGCCTTCTCCTGCTCCTGCAAGACCGCGAGCTTCTCATGGATGCCAGCGAGCCCCCGCTGCTGGTCGTCCTGCAGCTTCTGGTGCTTGGAGATCTGGGCCCCAAGGTCTCGCAGCCCTTGGCCCATCGGCCGCGCGGCTGCCAACTTGGCCTTGAGCTCGCCCTGCTCCTTGGTGTAAGCCTCCTTGGCCCGCACGGGATGGACGTCCTCACTGCCGCTGACGGTCTTGAGCAACTCGGCCAGGACCTGCAGCCGCTGCTTGTCCCGATCGCTGCCGCTGGGTGCGTCCGTCTCTTCCGGGGCGGGGCACTTGCCGTCCAGCCGCTTGAGCTTCGCCTGGGTCGAAGCCAACTCCTGCTTGAGCTTCTGCACCTGCACGGAGTCTGCCCATGCCGAGAAAGACCTCCCAGGCCTGCGCAGCGAGGGCGACGAGGGGGCGCGGTACTCTTTGAAGCAGAGCCCTTTGCCCAGCTTGCACATGGTGCAGGACGTCGCGTCGGCGTAGTTGAACCACGGGAGGCCCTTGGGCCCGACACAGCTCTTGCAGTACCAGTGGCGCTTGCTCTGCTCCGAGCGGAAGTGCGGCGGTGCCATCCTGCACTCTGGCCACGCAGGCCACGAAGGAGGCGGGCCGCCGTGGCAGCGCAAGCGGGGCTGGCTTGGATGTGGGCGCCCAACTCTCACGGTGAAGGCGAACGGTGGTCTGGCCGCGGACTAGCGGTATCCGTGTGGTCCCCAGGGGCACCAATCATCTTGAGCCAAAAGAGCTACGGAGGAGGAGGAGGAGGAGGAGGAGGAGGGGGAGGGGGGAGGAGGAGGGAGGAGGAGGAGGAGGAGGAGGAGGAGGAGGAGGAGGAGGAAGGAGGAGGAGGAGTGGGGGGGGGAAGAGGAAGGGTGGAGAAGGCGGATGAGGGAGGAGGAGGGGGGGATGATGATGATGATGATGATGATGATGATGATGATGATGATGATGATGATGATGATGATGATGATGATGATGATGATGATGATGATGATGATGATGATGATGATGATGATGATGATGATGATGATGATGATGATGATGATGATGATGCTGATGATGCTGATGATGATGCTGATGCTGATGCTGATGCTGATGCTGATGCTGATGCTGATGCTGATGAGATGATGATGATGATGATGATGATGGATGATGATGATGATGAGGAGGAGGAGGAGGAGGAGGAGGAGGAGGAGGAGGAGGAGGAGGAGGAGGAGGAAGGAGAAGGAGTAAGGAGGAGGAGGAGGAGGAGGAGGAGGAGGAGGAGGAGGAGGAGGAGGAGCAGCGAGGGGAAACGAGTAGGAGCAACCAATTGTGGAGGCCTCGGCTCTCGACGGAAATGGGAGGGATAGGGCGGGGACAAAACCTCTCCGAGAATCAATGAGTATGGCCTCTCCGGGCCTTCTTGAGAGTCCTTGTAGGGCTCTTTTGACCCGTCTGAAGGCCCCCTTTGGCCGTCCTTAGGCGTTCTTGGGTTGTCTTGTGGGGCTTGGGCCGTCTTGGGGCGCTCTTGCAGATCCGTCGTGACGACCCCGCCCCCTCCTCCAGCGCATCTACAGAGGGCCCCTTCGTAAAAGCCGCAAACGGGGGATGCGTATCTGGGTGGCGACCCCCCCCCCCCCGGGACCCCCCCCCCCCGGCGGGGAAGGGATCAAAGGGAAGGGGCTTCTCTTCGACGAATTTACGACGTTGCTCATTTTCGTTTTGGTTGGCGCGCTTGAGGAGGAGGGGGAGGGCTCAGGGAAAGGGCGGGTAGCGCCACACGCCGACAGGGTCGGCTGATTTTTTCCAGAAATTAGAGTTCATCAACAACAACAAAAACCATAACAACAACAACCACAACAACACCAACAACAACGACGACGACGACAACAACAACAATCATGTTAAGACTGTTCGCTCTTATCTGCCCGAGCGTCCGTCAGCACGTATTTCCCAAGCCCTCGATAACCGCCCTTCTGGTCTTCGATCGTACACCTTTTGGGGGGTATATCTTTCTTCCCTGCAGGCCGGGATCCCGCAAGCGGCGGGGCGACCGCGGACCGTCAGCCTGGCCAGCGGCAGCGCTGATCGGCGGCAGCCCGACCCCAACAGGGACGGACAGGGGACAGATCACCACGACGACGACGACGACGAGCGAAAGTGAGATCGAGAGCGAGAACGAGCGACAGCGGGGCCACGAGGGGCAGCGAGGAGGTCGCGAAGGGCGACAGCGGGGTTACGAAGGGATTGCGCACGGGGCCACGAAGGGCACGAACGAGCGGGGGCCACGAAGGGCTGATAATGCGGAACCACAGATCAGCCACGCGCGCAGGGGGGTGGGAGGAGGGGGGAGGGCTTCTTAGAAGCACCCCTGCTTCTTAGAAGGCGTGGGCCTTATCTATAGATGTAAGGCCGGCGCCTTTTAAGAAACAGCCCCCTTCTAATAGTAAGCCTTCCCCCCCCCTCCACCCCCATTGCGCGCGCCGACAAACAGAGGGCAACGACGGGACCACTGAAGGTAGCCACGGTGCCATATAGGGCAGCGAGGGGGCCACAAAACGCGACAGTCGGGCCACGAAACGCATGCATATGGGGCCACGACGGGCGCGAACGAGCGGGGCCACGAAGGGCATGCGCAGATCAGACCGCAGAGGGCAAGGACGGGGCCACGAAGGGCAGCGAAGGGGCCAAAAAAGGGCGGCAGTGGGGCCACGAAGCGCATGCCTATGGGGCCACGACTGGCGCGAACGAGCGGGGGCCACGAAGGGCATACTTATATGGGGCCACGAAGGGCAGCGAGGGGGCCACGAAGGGCTGCAACGGGGCCACGAAAGGCAGCGAGCGGGCCACGAAGGATACAACGGGACCACAATGGGCAGCGAGGCGACCACGAAGGGCTGCAACGGGGCCACGAAGGGCCACGAGGGGTTGCAACGGTGCCACGAAAGGCATGCGCACGGCGGCGCGAAGGGCGCGAACGAGCGGGGGCCACGAAGGGCAGATAATGTGGGGCCACATATCAGCCACGCGCACAGGGGGGCGGGGGGAGGGGGGAGGGAGGAGGGTTTCTTAGACGCACCCCTGCTTCTTAGAAGGCGCGGGCCTTCTCTATAGATGTAAGGCCGGCGCCTTCTAACGAGCAGCCTCCTAGGAAGCCCTCCCCCTCCCTCCACCCCCAATGTGCGCGCCGACAAACAGAGGGCAACGACGGGGCCACTGAGGGTAGCCACGGTGCCATATAGGGCAGCGAGGGGGCCACACAGCGCGACAGCGGGGCCACGAAGCGCATGCATATGGGGCCACGACGGGCGCGAACGAGCGGGGGCCACGAAGGGCATACTTATATGGGGCCACGAAGGGCAGCGAGGGGGCCACGAAGGGCTGCAACGGGGCCACGAGGGGCAGAGAGGGGGCCACGAAGGGATGCAACGGGACCACGAAGGGTTGCGACGGGGCCACGAAGGGCTGCAACGGGGCCACGAAGGGCAGCGAGGGGGCCGCGAAGGATGCAACGGTACCACAATGGGCAGCGAGGGGACCACGAAGGGCTGCATCGGGGCCACGAAGGGCAGCGAACGGGAAGGGCTGCAACGGGGCCACGAAGGGCAACGAGGGGGCCGCGAAGGGCAGCGACGGGGCCACGAAGGGCTGCAACGGGGCCACGAAGGGCAGCGAGATTCCGATTCCGAAAGAAGTTGTGAGGGAGTCCGAAGCGTGAGCGCGACTCCTGGGTGCCCGAGTGTCGGGAGCGCTGCGCTTGAGCAATTTGGGGGGAACTCCAACGTAACAGTGCGATTGTTCCGTACATTGGAAGCAAGTCTCCAGCGAGAGCGCAACTCCAGAGCGCCGAGAGAGCGATCGTTCCCTTAATAAAGTGTAAAGAAATCCGAAACGAGAGCGCGATTCCGAAGTACAATGCGAGGACGTCTCGGGCAGGAACGGGGGCCCTGGCCACATTATGAGGAAGTTTCAGGCGGGAGCCGATGCTGTTGTAATCCCGGGGCCGACAATCCAGTTTGAGCCCCTTGACTTTCCCTTATGAACCCAAAAACAGGGCGCGAACATCGGAGGAAACACTTCACTTGCAAAAACACAATGGTCACCGGGGGGGCAACAATAATTATTCTTCAGTAGCGAGAGTTCAGCAACAACAGCAAACACAAAAACAACAGCAATCATTGTACCCGAATGTTCGATGTTTCTACATGCGGCATGCATTTATCATGGTAGCCCCACCCCATGGGGGGGATTTGTTTCTTGCACGTGGGGTCTGATACTCCCTCTCCCTGATCCCCCGTCCGAGGAGGTCTTGGCAACACCTCTTTCAGGCACTCCAACATCTCCAACCCAGATGGCACATCGCCTTCGGGTAATCCCCCTGCCCAGGCCTTGTTTCTAGGTATCACGACGCCTGAGTGGTTTAAGACTTAAGAAAAGGATTCCAACTTCTGGGAGAGCCCAGTGGAGAGGCCCCAGAGCCTCTGAGAAAGTTTCGCAGCTTCGGGCCCGAGGCTTTCGACCCCTTCCCAGGGACCGCTTTTGCGTCGGCCGCTTGCTGATGGCGCCGGGGCTCGTCGTCGTCGTCGTCGCCGCCGCCGCCGCCGTCGCCGCCGTCGTCGTCGTCGTCGTCGTCGTCGTCCTCCTCCTCTTCGTCCTGTTCCTCCTCCTCCTTCTCCTCCTCCTCCCCCTCCCCCTCCCCTTCCTTGTTCCTGTGTGTCCCGTCGCCTCGAAAATCAGAACTTTGGTAACAGCTGCGCCAGGAGTTTGAACCTGCAGCAAATTGGGAGTCAAAGAAACAGGGAACGATGTTTCGGAACCGATGGCGTTGAAGATAGAAGGACACTTGCGGCAATGAAACCCCATTGGCCCCGCTCTGCATTATTTTGCCAGTCGGCGAGGCAAGTTGAACGACGGAAGCCACAGGGAAGACGGAGGCCACGTGGTTCGGAGGCCCTTGGTTTGCGCCAGTGATGAACATCGAAAGCCTATGACCGCTTTGTTGGAGGACAACACTCATAAGCCGCCGCAGCGCAGACGAAAGCAGGCGACAAAGAGGGAAAATGGAGGCCCCGAGGACCGGAGGTCATTGGCATCTGCCGATGATGGGCCTCAAAAGCCCATGGGCTCCCGAGGGGAAGCGGACGAGAAGGATATCTGGAAAGATGGAGGCCAAACCACCTTTTTGGAAAGCTTGACCCACGAGATCGACGCGTTTGTTCGCCGCTGGATAGAGAAGGCCTGGGAAGGCGGAGGCCCCGAGGTTCAGAGGCCGCCGGCTGGTGCCGATGACGAACTTCGACAACCCATATTCCTCAATGCTGACCCTGAGATCGCATAACTTCTGGAATTCTTCAGTCATGCAGCGACGAACGAAGGAATCAAGAAGAGCGTTTTGTAAACACTGTGCACGGAATGGGGGATGTCCACTGGAGAAACTGTTGAAGTATTATGACTGTTGCTTCGCAGATGGGTTGTGCAGGTTCGGTGGAGGTGGAGAAGGAGTAGGAAGCTGAGGCAAAGGGGCTTGCCAAATTACCCAACGGGGGTTCCGTCGGACCACTTAGTGGTTGAAGACACAGTTGTTGAAGGG